GAAAGTATATTGCACACAAGTACTAGTCCAAATCCATAAAGAACAGGTTTACTCTTTTATTAGGTACCATCAAGCACAATTCAGTTTTATAATTTTTAAAAATGTTGAAAAATTAAAGCCTTGAAAATGTATGTCCACTGCCCATTCCCTCTCCTAAATCATAGTCCAGTGTTATATGTGAATCAGACTTAATTCTAACTCTTCTCTGATTTTCTACATAAGTATTTTAATTATTCTAACCATCTGGAACCTAGATGCAGGAATATAGTTGACTCTGCAGTCCTAGTTGTTCTAGGAGAAAAGGTTAATTGGTCACAACAAAAAAAATTAAAAGCATAAAGTTTCCCTAAAATAAATCTGTAGTTATAGAAGAGAATATTTGTAGCTCAGGGTTGAACCGCTAGGTCTTTGCTTCTCTCTGAGCTTGATTTCCTTGCAGATGTGAAACACATTTTTGTTTCAATCCAGTGCTAAGTGCCAGCATCATACAATCCTAGAAACATTAGCAATTTTTCCCCACAAATTACATTATCTGAGAATTATTTCACTATTTGCTCTATCATAACTTCTTTGACATTGTAAGTACAATATTTTTCGGACTATAAGACGCTCCGAAGTATAAGACACACCTAGCTTTTGGGGAGGAAAACAAGAAAAAAAATCTGCCTCTGCCTCCCAGCAATTTGCCTCCTTGCAACAAACAGCCTGGTCGGCTTCAGCACAGCCTGATTAGCACAAGCAACTGATTGTCAGTTGGATCGGCCTCCCGACAATCAGCTGTTTGGGATTGCCATCGCCTATTGTCACCTCCGCAAGCCCCATTTTCAGCCTCTGCATCTATTTTCAGCCTCCGCATGCCCCATTTTCGGCCTAATCCCCACCTGGAACAGGCCAAAAACAGGATCGCAGAGACCAAAAACGGGGCGTGCAGAGGCTGAAAATGGGATGCAGAGGCCAAAAATGGGGCATGTGGAGGTGGCAATAAGCGATGGCAATCCCTGTAGCCTGAAACACCTGATCGTTAGGCCGATCCAACCGACAATCAGCTGCTTGTATCAATCAGGCTGTGCTGAAGCTGACCAGGCTGTTCGCTGTTTGCTGCAAGGAGGCAAATTTCTGGGAGGCAGAGACCAGGGGGGGGGGGCTGGGGGGTGGCCAGGGCTTCGGCAACATTTGCTCTATAGACACAGACATTTCCATTTGGGAGTGGAAAAAGTGCATATACTCTGAAAAATATGATATGTACCGGTAATCCTCAGTGACTACTTGTTTAACAGCCAAATTTGTCAGTGTGCTGAAAAATACTTATCTCAGGTTCTCAAGGTTCTAGCCCCTGCACCACCAATCCAGGTGCTTGACAAGCTAGCACAATAGTTGTAACATCTTTTGGTCATGTGATCATTGGCAAGGTTCCCTGCCAGCTTCCTATAAGCAGTCAGTGGGGAAGCCAGCAGGGAAGGTTGCAAGTTGCTCCCACCATTTTCTCAAGCCCTGCTACAGAATAGGAGATACCAGAGTTTTCATATACTATAATGCACACTTGCATCATAGCACACCCCAGCCCGCTAATAGTCGCACCACTTTAGCATCCTGGGCAATTTACTTCAGCACTTCCCTCTCACCCCTTTGTCCAGCTTCTTTGCAATCTCCTAGGACCGTGATGGTGAACCTATGGCATGCATGCCAAAGGTGGCATGCAGAGCCCTCTGGGCACATGAACTGTCACCCCAGCTCAGCTGCGCATGTGCACACATACCTCCCGCCAGCCAGCTGGTCTTCGGGTCTCTACTGTGCATTCATGGGGGGTGGGGCATGTGAGGGAGTCATGCATGTGCGGGGGCAGGGTGCATGTATGTTATATACATGTGTGGGGGAGAGGTGCATGCACAGGGTTGCACACATGGAGGGTCACATGCACATATGGGAGTCGTGTGCAGACGTTCCATTTTGGAGATGCACGCACGTATGCTTTGGACACTTGGTTCCAAAAAGGTTAGCCATCAGTCTTAGGACTCGCAACTTCCAGCCAACTTTCCCATTGATTTTGCTTGTGGGAAGCTGGCAAGTTGCAAGTCGTACTCCTACAATATGTTCACTTAATGATTTGTGATTCTCATTTAATGGTAATAGGAACTGCCAGGATTGCTATTGTTAAACAATGCAGCCATGTGTCATCATGCTTTATGACTGCATTGCTTAGCAACAGAAATTCTGATCCTAATTATCATAAGTGAGAAGTACCTGAATCATTGCACTAAGACAAGGTTGCTTCTTAAAGAAGCATGTAAAAATAACTCACTCAAATGGAAGTCTTTTTACAGAATTTTATTATAAAGATACAAAACTGTATAAAATACAAAATCACAATTGTTTTCTTAAAAAGGCGTAAGTCAACACTTATGAAAAATTTACAGCCAACTATTTTTTTTGTGATGCATACCTGAATAATCATATTTGTGACAATCATTTTTACTTCTGTAGAATATCTAGAATTCTTAGAGAAGCCAGTCTCTCTCTTAAAAGTCTTAAGTAACATTTATAAAGTCAATCTGAAATGCTACTTACTTTAGTAATTCCCAATACATATGTAGTTATATAATGTGATTTTTAAAGCTCTGGGGTACTTAATTTAAATAATAATTCTGATTTTCTTGCTACATAAATACAGCACACTGCTCTATACATTGTACTCTCCCAACCTTTTTGAACAAGTTTTACAGAAAAATATTTATGCAGTGCTAATGTTGAGAAAGGTGTCTCAAGGACCATTGAGAAACGGAAAAAAGGATTGACCTGTACCCAAACTAATTGTCTATTTACACTATCTTCGCAGCTGGCATCAATTCCTTATGATTTCAGTAGAAAAAACTATTTTGGGGGGTGGGGTAGAGAAAACCAGAAATGCCAATTTTTTGTCCGTCCTGCCTTACTTAGTATCCTTGTACCAACAGAATTTCAGTTCATTTGTACAATATATTAATGGTAATATTTAGGAATGTGAAGATCTAAACATACTTTACAAGACTTGCATAATCAAGCCATTTAATCTTGTGTTTTACTGAGAACTATAAGCCCCAGCAGCAAGAAGCAAATTTCTTCGAGTAAAGTGGAGGTGTATAACTGGAGTTGATTTAGTCATATATGTGCCTAGGAGCAAGTCCTGTGAACTTTCAGGAAGGTTTATGTGTCCAGTGGCTGTTGTAAAATCATCTGTTTCCAAGTCCTCAAAAGCTTTCACAGCATCCCAAAGTTTAACTGTATTGTCCATTGAACCTTAAAAAAAAACATGAATGTTAAATGATTCTCTAAACGCTGTAGTCAATTTGTCAAACATAGTTTAGTATTTTCTGGAAAAACAAACATTTATCACATTAAATGTAAAAGCAAAATTATGTCTTGATTCAGAAAACAAGAGTACTGAAT